TAAAAAAGCTAGTAGAAAGCATTCAAACAAACGTTAATAAAATATTTTACACATTGAAGTAAAATATTTCCAAACAGTTAAACAATTTAAATAAAGTTATAGGTATGCATGGCACATTTTATTGTGTATTTCTAACATTCGGTAAATTCCCTTAGAGCCCCCAGCGTATTTTTGTTAGTAAACATTGAGAGGAAAACAAAAGTGCATGCGTTCGGCCAGGGCAAATAAAGAATCGGGGGCTTCCCCCTCTGTGAGGGGATAATAGATTTAGTATGTTATGCCTGACAGTTACAAGGCTGTCAGCCACTGGCTGTTGTTTCCCTTGCTTTACTGTTGTTTGTATTTTGCACCGTGGAGACTGCAATTGAATTGCTCCTCAGTCCACAGTCCACAGTCCTCCGTCGTCTGGTCATCGCATCGTCATGGATGGTCATCATTAACATGGGGCAACGTCATCGACATCGTCGCAGGATGTGGTGCAATTTGTTGCTGCTGTCGCTGTGTAAGTGGGCGTGGCGTGACTGTCTGCCAAATATGAGCACCGGAAATTAGCACACAACTACCCCGCCCACTTCCACGCCCCCGCCCCAAAACGAGGGCGAAAATTGAATGGACATTGGACAAACCCCTTGCCCGATATAATTACTTTTGTCCCTGGACGGGGGAACAAGGGCTTTTAGTGGCAGCTACCCGGCTATCCATCTCCGATGACCCGGCGGGATCACCGGATCTTAATTAACAAAGGGCCTCAAATTAAAGGCTAATCAGCCACTTGACCACTTTGTCCACTTGACCCGGCCCAAAGAGTTTTGCTGCGGCTCTGGGGTTTGCGGTCACAAAATGGATTTATGATGCATGGCAAACAGTGCGGGAACTACTTCAGAAACTTCTCGCACAGTTCAGCCAAACGCGTTAGCCTTCCTCATTTCCATTTCCCATTTCCAGTTTTCACCCAACCCTACTACAAATCAAGCGAGGTTGGCTTCAGTTTTACCTCTAATTATACCATAATTCCGATTTTCATTTCTTGGTGAGGAAAATGTTATCAGTGCGAAATTTAACGATGTATAAACCAGTAAAGCTTTGATAAAATATTTATGAAAATAATGATGATAAATAATTAATAACAAAGAAAACAAACAAATAATTAAAATGTGTATATTGTGTATCTAAACAATGTTGATAAGAAAAATAATAAATATGAGTGCGAACAGCAGTATTCTCAAATTTTCGAATTTGCTCAATCTCTTATATAAAGAGAATTTTACAGTAAAATTGAAAAAGATCAGTATCATTCTTTAAACTTTTGTATTGAGAATTAAAAGTTCATATCTCCTATCATATTACAAATTGGCTTCAGTTTCAATAAACAGGTCTTGAGGTCTTGCAACAGATAATGATTAAAATAATTCAAATGAATACCAACTACAATTGTTCATAGAATAAGTAGACATAAATTAATTGGAAATAATAGATTTAGAAATGCAGAAATTTGTTTTGGTCTCCTTATAGCCGAATTGACTTTTTCTAAAAATGCTGCCCTCGTATTCTCAGAAAAAAATGCAGTTCTTCCGATGCGTTCAGAAAGAAAAAAAAACGTAGAGCTGGGAAAACTTTCTCCACGTATTCAGAAGCCCAAGGAAAGTAAAGGAAGAATGCTGAGCCGAGCACAGAGGCAACTTTGCGTGCTTTTGTAAGCGGCAACTTCGTTTGCGTCCATTTTGAAAATCAGGAATATGCGAGGGTGATGTGGGTGGGCATGTGTGTTTGGCATACATTAGCATCTCTTGTGTGTGCTGCATACATTTAGGCGCAGGGCAATGCAATGCACAATTGCTTATGAAATTGAGCAAACAAAATTGCGGAATGCTGTAAAACGGCAGCTAATGAGCCGAGCTGCACTCAGAGGTTAATGCGGAAAAAAGCTAAACTTCTTTGCTTTCGATTGTACACTTGAAACAATTTTGAGTTCTTCTAATAATTTTGTATAAATATCTTCCAATAAATGGAAATTAAATGTTATATGTCTCTAGATTTAAATATTTAAATTGTTATACTCGAAAGCCATGTCCGAAGATATTTTATTTTTTCTGCATGTATTTTAAACCCTTGCTGTCAAAAAAAGCGTCATGTTTTTATGATTTGCTTAAAAAATATTGATGAAGCCATGAATAATAAAAGACGGCACCCAACCTTCTCAGTTTTCGACGAGGAAACAAACTCATTAAAAGGTTGCTGGCCAGTCAACCAGTCAACAACTTTGGGGCACAAAACAAGCCATTAAAAAATGTTTAGTACATCGACTATGGCAGAGACAGCCGCAGAAAAAGCAACAGAAACGACAGCCAACTGCCAAACAAGTTCATGGAAAAATGGGGGAAAAAAAAGTAGAAGCACAAAATTGAAGGCAAATGTTTAGTGGAAGTTTAGCAGAGTGGTGAAAAAGTTGGAGCAAGAGCGAAAAAACACTAGTGTCCCCAGGGCGCATTTGAGGGGTGTTTCCAACCCCCTCCCACTCACCTGTCACGTGTAAAATGCCGCCAACGGACGAAAGTCCTTCATCCCTGCTTTCACTGCGAATGGGTCCTTTTGTGCCCGGCACATGTAAATTGAAAACAGTCGCCAAACGGCATTAAGAAAGCGAATAAGGCTTTGTACCCTGGTGTGTAAATTAAAAATTAACTGTCACCGGGGATACATTTTCAAATTGAATGAACGACACACGAATGGCAGAAATTGTTGGTAAAATGATTTTCTTTCTTTGGAGTTGTGGAAATAAAAAAGGATGTTCATATCTCATCAACAGGTTATGATTGAATTGAAAAGGTAAATTAGAAAATTGCTTCAAGTTACAAGGGATATATAAAAATATAATATAAAAAGAACTCAGAGCCTTCCCCATAGCGAGTATGAAATGAAAAATGATAGTAATTAAATATTAAATTTTCGTAGCTTTTACTTGACTTAGGGACACCGATTTATACTTAGCTCCCCACACTAGGAACAAAGCCAATCTGCTAGTAGTAGCAGACTTCAGATGCGGCATCCGCCCACTTTTAAACATTTCCATTCATATACTTTCACACAGATTCACAGGGGGCAGTCGTGCAAATCTAGAAATAAACTTCAAAGCATTTAACATCTGCCCATTGACCAAGAACGCCCCCGACTCGCCGGCGATGTAATCTACACAATGGCATGGCAGAGTTTTAATTGCTATGACACTGCCAAGACACGGATGACTGGACTGGGTTGGGTGAGGGATGTCACAGGGGATGGGGATAGGGATCGGGATTGGGATCGGGAATGGGATTGGGATCGGCTGGTCCAGGGACCCGTTTGCTGTTGTCGTTTTCTAATTTGATAAAGATAAAAATCATTTTGTGAACGCCCTCGACGATGTCGCCATCAAGTGTGTATGCCCCTGACAGACGGGCAGGTCTTTTGGACGGACACCAGAAGCAGGACACTCGCCAGGACACTCGCCAGGACACTCCCGTTCCAGGACACGCTCTCGCAGCTCGTTGGCTGCCGCTTAATTGAATGCTCATTTCAACGAGCGAGGTCCAGCTCCACCTCTTCAGCTCTGCAGCGTCGCCGGCTTTAATTGCATTTTTATTTCATTTCCCAGCAATTATCGCAAGTTCGTGTGCAAATTCTATAAACCAGAGGCGGAAGGAAGAGCAACACTGGGAGAAAAGATATCAAGCTAACCTCCCTTCTTTATTATATCAAAGAAATGCAGGAAACTTATTTTTGGAAATTGAAATGGAAATTTATAATTTGGAAATACCAGGAAACTATTATGCATCTTTTAAGTCCAAGCCATGACTTTTGTTTTAAAATAAAATTGCCATAATTTATTAAATTTTACTTCTCTCTATGTATATATATATATAACTTTCGACTAAGAATTATGAATCAATGAAGATACATTACTCAAAGTGGCTGAAATCTAATTTGACTGTGTTAAATTGATTTGCTAACATTTGTTTTTATTTATTTTATTAATTTTTAAAAATTTCTTAAAATTACCTAAGAATAAAAAAATCGTTCATAATATACATCTTCTTAACAAGCACCCTTTTGGTTTCGCTCAGTGCAAAGAACACTGGCTTGAAGCGTTGGTCATGTGGCACCTGCAACATCCCAAAGGCAAGAGGTCAATCGTGTCATGGGTGTATCTGTGCCATGTGCAACTAGTTAGCAGCTTGTGTGAGTGTGCGAAAGTGCGGTCCAATGTCCTGCGAAACCGTAATTAAAGGTAGCCAGGACTTTTAGCAAGCTCTTGTCCAGTTCCTGCTGATATTTATTGTCGGAGCTGCGCTTTCTGCCCTCTTATTGTCAGTGCAAGTCCAAGTTGCTGTTGTTGTTGCTGATGGTGCTGTTGCTGCTAGTTGTTAGCAAAGCAATTAGCATGAGTTTGTTATTGCAACACACGGCCAGGAGTCGGCAGAGGACAGGTAGAAAGACGCCGGCGACACGGCGACCGTGTCCGGCACATCCTGAAAGTTTTACACCGAACCCGGGGGCTACAGGCGCCCCCCGAATGCCGGCAAATAAGAATTTAATTTATTTACTCTGCAACGGGCAAAGTGCTGGTAAATGGCCATGTAGCGTTTAACACTCCGCAAACAAATCACAAATAACTAAAAGTTATGCAACAGAGGCTTATAGATTGGGGGCTGTGCATTTAAAAAGCGGGCACTGCAATTATTAAGAAATCATTATAAGAATAATATTAAAGTAAATATTGATTTATTGAATTATCTGCAATGTACATCTGAATAAATAAAAGCAATTTTATAACTTGTAAAAAAATATTTGAACCATTACTTTGATAAGTTTATTTATGCGATCAAAGCGGGCAATTGAGGTTTACGCCCTTGAAAATATCATACATATCTCCCTTTTTTATTTGCTAATATGTAAATAAGCTTATCAGATTGAGTAGAGGGCTCTTTACATTTCGAAACCATCGAATCGAACCTGAAGTCAGTTCATTAGAACCTTTCGAGTCGATATGTTGAAGTTCGGGAAATATTTTTGGATCGCATTTCTTGTGAGCCATCTCTATGGCAAAGCCATGTCAGAGGATACTTGTTCCTTTTGTGTACTAAAAGATGCACCAAGTCAGTGTGCTACATTTTGCCTTTCGGCACTGCATCCGTTGTATGATCACAATACGAAGCACCAGCACAAGATGAACTCTCTGGCTGACACTCTGTCTAATAGCAACGTGAAATTGGACAAGATCGAAGGTCAAATGCAGTCCTTACAGACCACGATGGAAACTCTGAAAACATCCATCGAGGAAATTTTACAAAGGATTAACAATCAGAACTGTGACACACGGATAGAGGAAAACCAATTAACTGACAGTCAGAAAACTGTATCCGGAATGAATGATAAAATCACTTTGCCGGGCTTCAAGCAGATCGGGTCGAGTTCATTCTATATCGAGAAAAGAGTTAGACAAGATTGGCCCACTGCTGAAAAGACTTGCCGTCAAAAGGGAGGTCACCTTGCATCAATAAACAATGAAGAAGAGTTTAATGCCATCACCGGAAAACTCGATCAATCTTGGTACTGGATAGGCATAAACGATCAGGAAAAAGAGGGCGAGTTCGTGTCTGTAGCATCCGGAAAACCAGCACCATTTTTAAAATGGGGTTGGTTCAGATACAGCGACGGAAACGCTAGGGACTGCGTAACATTGTCCAAAAATGGATTATTGGATGTTTATTGCAACGAAACTTTATATTTTATTTGCCAGCAAGGCAATGACATATAGTTACTTGCCATATTTTTCTGAAATATTTTTTAAACTTACATTTATGCTTACTAAAATATAACATTTAAAATTTGTCCGTTTTTAAAATTGTATAACTTGTTTAACTGGATCTACGTATGGATAATAAGCCTACTTTCTTTTAGCTGCACCATTCTCTTATTTAAATATGAAAAATACATATGTCTAGATATTTTTCCAATCAAATAACAAATAATGGCCTGACCGGTCGAAAAGGTTCGCTTTCAAAGAAGAACACCACACCCCCATCATCCATTCTCAACCATTTTCCAATCAGTTTTCCTTACACCAATTCCCTTTCAAATCGAGTTCCACAGTTTTCCAAGCCACGGCTTAGATTTAGTGCAACTTTCGCCTCCCCAACCTCCAAGTTTGAGCCATCTCATCACTTACTTTTTTCTTGGGGGTAACCTTCAGCACCTTTTAAGCCGCTTGGCGTGTCCTTCAATGCCTCAAAAATCCATTTCTGCCTCATCCTCCCTGCGGAATCTGTTGCTTTGTTATCCTGGCCCTCTTCTATTGCATTTCATTCACTCGATGGGGAGTTGCTACTTCGCTTGGCTGCATCTCCTTTGGGGGAAAAGTGGGTTTGATTTCGGTTTGCTGCCTTTGCCGCCAGCTTCATCGTGGATTATGCAAAAAGTTTTTCATTAATGTTGGATTTAGATATTTTTTCACGCTCGGCAACTGTGCTTCCACAGACCTCCTGGTGAGAGCATTTTTTCGCCAAGCTTCCCAACAGTCCTTTTCCCAAATCCGCTTTTTCCTGCGTTTTGGTTGTTGACAACGCAACTTTGGTCCCAGGATACGTTAACTTTTGTGCACCGCAGCGCCGGGCTCAGTGCAATGAAAGTTGGCACCACAAAACACAGATACGTTTGGATAGATAGATAGATATATATATAGATAGACAGCTAGACAAACACTTAACAACAGAATCCTTGAAGCTGCCACACAGCAAATTTGCGTTACAAGTGAGCTGGCAAATGAAGGATGAATTAAACGAGTGGTTTTAAAAGCTCCATGATTTCGAATGGTGGTTAGGCACAGGTAAATGCAGTGAAAAGATTGGTAAGACTTAAAAAAAAGGATAGTTAGGAACTACGTAAAATACAAATATTATATCTACCAATTTAGATCATATGTGATAATTAAGAATTCATTTTAACATTTTCTAATGCTTTAATAAAAGTTTTTAAAAAAAAAAAAAAATTAGGTATGATCCTTTGTTTTGTTTTTAGTCAATCCATTTAATACATTTAGAAACTCATCCCCATTCTATCAGTGCATGCCCTCATACAGTTTTTTTGCCACAACATGCGCTTTTTTCCCATTGCAACATAACTTGGACCTTCTTTCTTTCCCTATATATATTTATTCCGTATCTGGTCTGGTTTTGGTGGTTGTTTCTTTGGAGACACTTTTGCCGCTTTGCAGTGCAAATTGTTGGGTTTGCCTTTCTTTTTTTTCAGTTTTATTCTTATGGCATTTTTTGTGCGGTTTTTATTTTCCTTTGTGGTGTTTTCGATTTGTCTGGCTGGCGGATTGGAGAGGGGGCCTAAAAGGATCCCCCATCTTCTTCCGCGCTTCAGCATTTATTTGAGTGTGTAAACTTTTGCTACTTGAATTTTTCGGGGATTTTCCTGTGGCAATTTCACAGTTGGTCCTGCCCCATCCTCATGTACCCATGCCCCTATACCATGCCAACTTTGATAGTTTTGTCAAAAGTTTTTATTGCGATTTGTTGCAGCTGCAAGTCCAAGTCTTGTAAAAGTAATGCTCATCCAAAAGAAGCAAAAATGCTGAAATTCCCCAATTGATATTTTTGTGTGTGCGATGAGAATGGGAAAACATTGAAGTTTTCAAGGGTCTTTTGAACAACATGTTGTGGGCTCGCTAAGAGATCTTTGTGGGCTAAGAGGAGTACATATTTGAACAAAAAATGGTAAATACCAAAGCATTTAAATAAATTGCTTTGTGCAAATGGATGGGGGAATTTCCAAACAGAAATAGCTTATTGTTTGTAAATAAATGTATCATGTCGATAAATTTCTTAGTAAAGGGCTAGTAAGGCGCTATTACGGTAATTACCCAATGGCCGAAGTTAGTGATATTAAATCAAAAGTTTAATGTTTTGATTTTAAATTTTTTCAGATATTGTTAGGTATATTTCTATATCAAGTTTGTTGTAGATATAAATGAGTTATGGGCGAGAGCGGAGATATCTAAGAATATGTATTAGTTAAAACGAATGTTTGCCTCCTCAAGCAAGGAGCTTCCCTCACTTGTTATCACAATTCTCGATGACCACCACATCGCCGTAGTTTGGAGGCGGCGTCTCCGGTCTGGCGGCACCACTCTCGACCACATCCGTGTAGAATCTAGCCGTGGAAGTGAGCGGTGGCGTGGTGGGTGAACTCGCCTCCCGATCCCGATCCCGGCTGGTGAAGAGGTTGCTCCGACTGAGGCGCCGGATGAGGGTGGCCGTGTTCTGATTGATGGTCCGGTAGTACTGACTGCGGGCCGGACGACCAAAAAGCCGGGACACGAAATTGTCCTGCGGTCCGTAGGGTTGGCGGACGACGGCACGCGATGCACGCTGAGGATTGGAGCGTCTGGGGTGGCGAGTCCGCTGCGGTGACCAGGTGTGAATGGTGAGCAGGCTATCTTGCGTGGAATCCAAAGGAGCTGTTGGTAGGAAAAAGAAAATTACAGAAAGTACTTGGACACTCTCCTAATTGAGTGAACCTACCTGAATCCCCATCGACCACCTCTGGGTTGCTTTTCTTCTTGCGCATCTCACAGCAACTCTTGAGGCACAGGGCAAAGGTTATGATGAAGATGACCATGCAGACGCCCGTGGCCCCGCCCACCACAAAGGCCAGCTTGAGGTCATCCTCGTCGTAGGAGTGTGAGCGTATGATTTCATCTTCCAGCTGGGAGTTGCCCCCGGCTAGGAGTTCGTGACTCACGCGCTCCAAGCAAGTGCGGTATCGCAGGCAGAGCTTCTCCCGGCTTCCCTCGCACACATCGCTGAGGGATGACATCTGGCCGTCGTCCTCCTCGCTGTCCTGTTCCTCACTGGAGTCCAACTCCCGCCAGACAGAGAGCACGGATTGGGGACCTTGGGTGCTGGGCTCGAAGTGCTCCATGCGTTCAAACTTCATCTTAGCCTCCTCAACGACATCCACGTCCACTTCCTCCTGTGCAACCGGCACCTCCTCCTCCACGCAGTCGCTCATGAAAATGGCCACGCCACGCTGTCGTAATCCAGTGGCCACTTTGGCCAAAGCCCGATCGCAATTGAAAGGATTTTCCTCCACATTCAGGGAGGCCAAATAACGTGGGGCATGAAAATCTCCCGGACTCAGGGTCACTAGCATATTCTGAGCTAAATCCAGTTGACGCAACTGGGGCATGGCACTCAATAGCTGGATTCCCAATTGATTTACCTGCGAGTTGCGCAGATTGAGAGAGCGAAGTGTTGGACTCCTTAAAATGGGTCCTTTTCCCAGGGTGGACAACTTGTTGCCCTCCAGATTAAGGTGGATCAGTTGGTTGTTGGACTCGAGAATATGTTCATCGATCTGCTCCAGGCGATTGTACGAAAGATCCAAGTATCGAAGTTTGGTCAATTCCGAAAAGGCATCACCATAAATTGTGTGGATGGCATTGTGAGCCAATGTGAGGTTAAGCAGGTGGATAGTGGTCTACGGATTAAATGTTAAAAAAATTAATTTAAAAGAAGAAAAGTAGTTGATATATAACGTTATAATCGATGTTTGGTGACTTGCCTTGAAGGAGTCATCATCAATGGTTGTTATGTCATTGTAGCTCAGGTCCAACAGCTCAACCGTTTTGGGCATTTCTATATTGGCGCTTATCAAGCGCTTGGCACTATACACAAAAAAAGAATATACATATAAAGATATGCAGAACTGAACCCACTTAAATATTTTTAACTCAATGAAACTCACCTGCATATCGCTCGATTTCGCTGGGCATGCAGATCACAGTGGCAGACAGTCGGGCAGAACATTTGAAGTTGGGTTTTGCTCCTGCACACCTGAAGAAGGACACAGAGCAGTAGGCCCACGTAGAGCAGGATCTGCTTAAGACCCAACCACATTTTGGGCTTTACGACACATTGCAGAGCCATAAGCTGAAGACAAATAATATTTTCATTGATTGGAAGGGACGTCCTCAATTAATGGTTCGTCATTTTCGAGATGGTTGGTTTGGGAATGCTTGCTAGTTTTCGACTGACTGAGTGCTTAAAACATGTCTCTCCATTCACTTTATGACTAACTGATGAACTGTATTCCAATGGTTGGATACCATACTTTACCTGGTTTCGTTAAAAAATATTAAACAACAAAGTTCATTAGCTTACTGATGTGCCCGGTAAGAGCTCTACACTTCCACTGCAGATAAGATAAACCTCTTTGTTATTATCTAATCAGCTGATGCGGCTATATTCGTGTTTCGATGAAAGAGCGTAAGTTTCTGTGGTTTCACTTGTTTGGAAAATGCAGAGCTATAAAACCCAGGTGAAATGTGTAGCTGATAAGGTAATTCGGCTATTTCTTTATCTGCAACTCTTTGGACTTTCCACAAAAAAATAAATACATATGTTATGTTTTGTGTAACTTAAGAGATGCAATTTTTCAGTTCAAAGTGCTTATCTATCGTGAGTTAGATAATCGTAAAACATTAATCAGTTGGTTTTTTAAGTACTTCTAATTTCTGTTGATTGACGAACAGATAAACGAAGATTTTTAAGGCATTTATTGCACATATATTTTTTGCAAGCTTTACAATTGAATTGGGCACTTGTACATGGTATTGAGACGTTTGATATCTATCTCACTCATCTTCAAACGCTGACCCATTTTCTCCTGACCCTCTGGATTCAGAGCCACAATTGTGGCCTCGCCGTTGATCGAAAAGGCTACGGAACTGTAGTGCAAGACGCTTCCATAGTCGTAGGGCTCGTCGAAATCCCCAACAACGTCATCTTCGTACTTGACAAAGTTCTTCTCGTGACCCTCGGATATGTTCTCCTCCACAATTTTCACGAACTCATCTCGATTCGGAGAGCATTGCTGATGGTGGAATCCCAAAGTGTGGAGCAGTTCGTGCTGGATAGTTCCCAGCTTGAAGCAGCCAGAGTCCAGTTGGCCAGGTTTAAGTTTGACGGTTCTTTCACCCGGCTGGTAACCCACTTTTGAGCTACAACCGGAAGTGGAAGGCAGCACAAAAACATAGTTTTCCTCGTCTTCAGCAGCAGGCACAAAACGAATACAAGAAGAATACTCGATGATTTGCATGCCAATCTTAATGTATTCCACATAGGGAGCATCTAAGAAGATTATTTATAAAAAAAAAACAATATTTTAGTGTATTAGCAAACCGATATATCCACTCTCATACCAAACTCCTCAGAGATCCTGTAAGGAACTGTGGCATTTGGCCAACGACGTGTCTCGGAAAGATGTCCGTTTCGAGTAAAATCCACATCCATATCACCCTGGAAGTATCCTGCAGTCAGCTCTGGGTCCGTTTCCTCATAATGAGTACTGTAGGGAGCTGGAAAAACCACAGAGCACAGAGTGCCCAGCAGGAACAACTGAATCCAAGCAGCAATCATTTTCGACTGATTTAAAGAGAATTAACAGCTAATATATTGCTAATTATCGCAAAATGTGCGGCCTTAAGAACTACTTGTGATTTATTAGCGATAAGAGTCCGCGGAATATGAAATACTACAAAAATGTGTAGGATTTCCACAAATTGCGGGTGCTAAAGCACTTCTATCCATTGTTGCTATGTTCTGCTTTGGAAAAAATGGAAGTCCGTCCTTTAGCTAAGTTCCCTGTTGGGAAGTTCACTAACCAAAAAAAGCCATGCATTTGATTTTTTCACAACTTAATAATAAATATTCTATCCAAAACACATATGCAAATATAGATGTAATCGCTATATGAATAGCCTATGAACTATATAAGATTATTGATTTAAACCTAAGTACTAACACAGAATTATAAAGTATACAGGCCTGTTCAGGTTTTTAGTTTCAAATGTTATTCTCGAATTGTTTTTAACAAGTGTCAATATTTATTAATTTAAATATATTAAAAACAAATTGACCAAGTTTGATATAACACTGATGCAAAGTCAAATCGAGTTGGACAATATTTCTCAAAACATCAAGTCTGAACGGGCCTGATAATTTCAAGAAACTAATGCTCTTGAATTTGTATCTTTCAATGAGGTCTTAGTTTTCTCTGACTGAACAAGTTGATCGTTAACCAGCGGAGCTCGAGGCTACTTAGCAGCCCAGCTTGCGCTTCCGTTTGGTCACAGTTCCAGGCTCAGTCGCATTCCTTTGCCCAATCCCATTCCCCTGACCAAGATGTAATGGCTGAAAATCCACTTGTCCGCTTTCCTCTCCTCACTCAACTTCCGTACTCGGTTTGTTGGCTTTAATTTATGGCCATGGCCAGACGACTGCTGCGGCTGAGTCTTCGACTGAGACTTCTACTTTTACTGCAACTGCAACGGCAATGGCAACGGCGCCTCCTGTCAGTCAGTGTGGGCGTGGCCAGTGGTCGTCACATCCGCTGTTTGCCAGAGGTTGGATTTGTCCACCCACACCTCCCATCGAATGATCACCACAACGTTGGGCAGTCAAAATGGAAACTTTTTCACACACATTCTCAGCTTTTGCCGCTCAGGGTTTTTCACTTTTCAGCTACAGAACCGGACCGTCGGAAATAGTTAACTTTTATGCGCATTTCAAATCGAAAAGTTTTACATTCAAACTTTATTAAAATTACGCTCGATGCCCGTCCAATTGTGCCTGCCAGCCAACTGCTGGACGGATCCGAACTGCGAACTGTTGGTCGCCATCTTCATGGCCATTGTCGCGGAGGTCCGCAAAGGTTTCAATTCTTTGTTTCAAACGCGTTTGGAGTTGGGAGTTCCCTGGGCATTTGGGCTCTGAGTTGAAATGGGACACATTAGATAAGATTAATCCATTTATATTTTGAATCTGCATGAAAGAAAATGTTTGACTTTTATCCATATGCCATAAATATAACTATTTAAAATTCTGGAATAAAGTGGTTTTAAAACTGCTGAGAACGATTTGGTATACCACTAAAATTATTTTTCTTTGAATCAAAAAACAAGAAATACTGAAAAAATAAAGAACTTTATTATAGTGCCAAATCTAGTGCCATCTATGTCCCTTTTTTATCTCTCTTAGAAATAGTTTGCGATATTATCTTAGTCGCTTTAAAATTTCGTAATTATCTCGGTGAAAATTTCCCCACTAAATTGGGAAGTGCATTCCATCTTCCTCCATGTGGAAGGAAAACTAGAGAGTTTTTCGCCGCCGAGCATTTGCATTGTTGTTTTGACTGCTGGCGCCTTTTTGTGGCCATTCCAGGTCCCCCCCCTTAGCCGCCGCCCCTGGCCAACAGTTCCCGCACTAATGACCGACATTGCTTCCTAATTACAAAAGTTTTGCATGCACTCGCTGCAAAAGGATGGTGGGCCGAATTGCTTGCCGAAAATGGCTAAAAAAATAAACTTTTAAGTTTATTTTATTTCCTTTACTTAATGTTGGAGCGCTTAAAGTTGAGCTTTTCATTTGGTTTTTAGTGGCCTAACTAACGACTCCATTAACCCAAGGCGGCCGCAATACACATGTTTGGGTAAGCAAAAAAAAAAGAACAGAGAAGAAAATATTGCATCCAGGCCGAGGAGAACTAGCACTCAGTACATTCCAGTTGCACATATGTCATGTGACACATGCCGACCCAGGAACTGGCTACTGGATCCGTATCCAAAGAGCCCACTCTTTCTGGCCATGGGCCGCACTTAATGATAAACAATGCTTGCGGTCAGTTTAACATGCCGCGCTATTACCCTGCCACTCAGCCGCCCTGCGTCCTTCGTCCTTCGTCCTTTTAACCATGCCACCCCCTTGTGGCAGGACCGAAAACCCAAACACCCCCTCCCGCATAACGAGTGGACAATTTACACGCTGAAACTGAACGTCAGCGGACATTGGGGCGACAGGGGGTGGACTAATTGATACCTCAGCTCTTCGGGGAAACGACCTATTGACCTGCAACTGATTTGATCTAAAATGCAGCTTTGGTCATGCAAATGTTTACAGATTGATTTCACTGGTTATTTTTAAGGAAGGGGTATCAGTTTCACTGAACAAACCAATTATACAATTATATTTGTTGTTTTGGTTTACATACTTATTCATAAACATATTAGGTTTCTTTAAAAAGGAGTTGCATTTGTTATCATAGAAGGATAAGTTTGTTATCTGAAGACAATAAAAATTCTTTGACTTAATTTTCGGTTCAAATTTATTAGTTTTTCATTTTTAAGATAATTTTTTGTTGGTATGGAAATATTATAAATATTTTTCACATAAAATTAGTTAGCTAATAATCGGATCTAAAAATAAATAATTTTATATTTTTAAAGGTATTTATTACAATAAAGGTATTTTATTCATCAGTGTTTATTCTAAATTAAGCTTTAAGGAATTATAGACTGCAAAATATACTCATTCAAAGTCAAAGATTCCCCAATAGCTCCATTCCAAGTATAAATAGCAAACTAGGGAAAAGGAGAAGCGACAAAAACAGCATGGTTAAAAGAGCAGTAAATGAGAATTTATCCACTTGCTGACCAACGAGACGGCCCAAACCCCTCCCAGGCCCTCCTCGCCACGCCCCCCATTCCCAGGCAGAGACACAAAAACCATGGGCGGAGATATAGGGGGTGTGGTATAACTGGCGGACACACGCACATCGTAAAGTTTTAATCGGATGTTGTCCAGCTTTACATGACGCCATCTACTGGCTTAGAGTGCAATATCCTGTGGCACGCGATAACATCGAGCAAAAGAGTTGGGTGGAAGTGGCACAAACGGCGGACAAAGGCCGGCGTGGGGATGTGGCAGAAGGGGGCGTGCCACCACCCTTGTTTATGCGAAACGCCCGGGCGAAACAGAAACGCTTCTGGCCCTTTGCTTTTTGACGGCATTTGGCATTGCCACTGCCACGCACAACAACTACAAGGACTCGCCAGGATGCCCAGCAATTCCGTCTATGGGCTACAAAGCCGGCACAGTTTCTGGCACGGCTACAGATACAGATACAGATGCCGAGGCTAAAGCCAAAGCAACAGCAACAGCCGCTACAAAGGCTTAAAAAGCGCTCAACACGAAAAAAATGAGCGGAACACTGGGATGGAGAAAGACAAAAGGGGGTCCTTTAGAAAGCCGAATTGGTGTGGCTCTATAGATTATCAAAAAATCAAAATTATTAAAGGGATTATAAGATAACATGGCAAGATTTTCTCAAATGATCATAAGAAAATAACCATTTTCTTCAAAAGCAGATATCCTAATGAGCTTGCTTTTGGAAATCATGTATGATTTTTGGTTGGTGATCATTAATGCTGCTACGCATACTTGAAGCAAAAAATTAAAAAATCTTGTCGAACTTAAAACAATTTATTTTTCTAAAACGAGTAAGAGAAATAACGTACAACTTTCACGGCACAAAAATATATTGTAACAAACGTCCTATTATATTATCATATCGACCGTCTTAAATTAATTTGAAAACCACCATAGATTTTTGGTAACTTTAATGATATTTAATGTATTTTATGTGTTTTGTATGGCAGTTATTCCAATTCAACGTTTTCTAAACATTTAAATACGGCTTTGACAGACTTGACCTTTTGCCCAGAGAACTAATAAACAATGGACGTTGGTAATTTAAATTTATAAGATAAATTCCCCCGGCGACTTTTATGATGCATGTCTCACCTTAGCCCATTCGAAAACTTTGACTTAAAGTCAGCAGGCCTCGGCAAACCTCATAAACAATACATTGTATCCTTGCAGGCAAAGTGCATACAGAATGGCAGTGAAATGTGTGGCTCTTGTTGTTTTCTGGGCTTCGGTCAGCCGCTTGGCTAGACGCACACTTGGCTGGATGGCCGGGATTCAGGATTCAGTAGTCGGGATTTTCAGTGGACTGAGGGGACTGCAGAGCTACTGCCCACGAAAGCAACCCACTAAAGCACCAAGCCAACGAACCTCGTTGTCATTGTCGTGACAGGAAATTAAGATGAATGTGGCGAGCAAACTGCAGTTTCTACGCAGGGGTTGTCCCTTGTAGTTCCCCATCCAAACCCGCTCCTTTTGGCCCTGTGCTGCCTTATTGTCGTTTTTCTATTCGGTTAGACAAGGGAGAGACAGACGGCTGCCTCTTAAAATATTCATAACAAAAACTGTTGCCACCACTATCTCGAGTGCAGACCGCAGCGGATGCAGGCGGACCGGGACAAATGGCATCGCTGGGAGTAATCCGGAAAAGCTGGAAAAGCTTCACCAGCGTGGGAAAGTTGCGCGTTTGAATTAATTGATTTTTATGAATTTGTTAAGTGAGTTTTCCATGCCCCAGATGGCAGGCAACTGCTGAGTTCATGACTGCGCAAATGTTGGCTTTGGGGAGAGTGCAAAAATGTGTCACCTATTAACTATGCCTTAAATGACAGATACATACGAAACGTTGGTAATTCAAACTTTTTATTTATTTTGGTTTTTGTCAATTTTTTTATATTTTAAATCATAAAGTCAATGCTTTTTTAACTTATATAAACAATCAATGGTAATTATAGGTGGTTAAATAAATATATTTTGACTCGGGACAATCAAATTTGTCAACAAAGGAATTTATTGCCATCAGAAAAAATCAATTTATACTTACAAGCTAATAAAAAAAATGCATATTCTTTTAATTGATTCTACTCGCATTGAAATATTTATGAAATTATTAAATTTAAGATTAAAATAATGATTTACAAAAACAGTCCATTAAAGAACAAAATTTCTTTAGTCTTAAAATAATTTAAAAGCCCTTAATTATGAAAACCATTTCAATAAATTTAAATAATAGTTTTTTCATTATAAAAAACGATGTTCCTTCGTAGGAAACATTTTCTTTCCCATTCTAGACACTTTCTGCAGCCTAAATAGAGATAGTACTGTAACCAGAGTTAGAATTAAAATTTCATTAGCAATCAAACATATTATATATAAATTTTTTTGTGTTTTAATAATTCCAAATTTGTTTATGCGTTTGATTCTGTTGTTTACCCCTGTTTACAACATTACCTGCGTTTAATAACCCCTAATGAAGGCAAATTCCCCCGTGGTGGTCCTGGAAAAGTTGTCTCAATTATTTGAGGACAAGCCATTACATCGTAAATGAGGCAATATTAATGTGAAACTTTCAAATGTTTCCGTTTGGCTTGGAACTGGAGGATAATAACTTAATTGAGCCATTGCACGCATGGGAGCGTTCATTTAAAAGTTGAGAAACTGTCATCGTCTGTGCTCCTGGCTAATCCCTGGTGCTTATATAAGTCGGAGGAGAGTCGACATTATTTAACAGTCTTGACTTTGACATTATGGGTCGCTACGTGCCCCGTTTCGCTGATGGTCAGAAGGTGAAGTTGGCTTGGCCCTTGGCTGTGTTTCGATTGAATCACATATTCTGGCCCTTGGATCCGAGTACTGGGAAGTGGGCCCGATATCTGGACAAAGTAATGGCCGTGCTTGGATGCCTGATTTTTATGCAGCACAACGAAGCGGAACTAAGATATCTGCGTTATGAAGCTAGAAATCGGAATTTGGACGCCTTTCTCACTGGCATGCCAACCTATTTGATCCTGGTGGAAGCCCAATTCCGGAGTCTTCATATTCTCCTGCACTTCGAGAAGCTTCAGAAGTTTCTTCAAATATTCTACGCCAAGATCTATATAGACCCGCGAAAGGAACCCGAAATGTTTCGGAAAGTTGATGCACAAATGCTGATAAATAGATTAGTTTCCGCCATGTATGGAGCAGTAATCTCACTCTATCTAATCGCTCCCGTATTTTCAATAATTAACCAAAGTAAGGATTTTCTATACTCAATGATCTTTCCGTTTGACTCGGATCCTTTGTATATTTTTGTGCCACTGCTTTTGAGCAATGTGTGGGTTGGCATTATCATAGATTCCATGATGTTTGGGGAGACTAGTTTGCTGTGTGAATTAATTGTGCATCTTAATGGTAGTTATATGTTACTCAGAAGGGACATGGAGTTGGCCATTGAAAAAATTTTGGCAGCCAGGGAACGTCCATATATGGCCAAACAGCTTGAAAAACTAATTATCAAAACTCTGAGAAAAAATGTGGCTCTAAATCATTTTAGCCAGGAGCTGGAGGCCCAGTATACTGTGCGGGTTTTTATCATGTTTGCCTTTGCTGCTGGTCTCCTGTGCGCTTTATCATTTAAGGCTTATACGGTAAGAAAATCTTAAAATATTGTATTTTAATATATTACAATCAATCAGTAAATATTTTTTAAATCCTTCTTAAATAATAATTTTTAACAGAATCCCATGGCAAATTACATCTATGCGATTTGGTTTGGGGCCAAAACAGTGGAACTGCTTTCTTTGGGACAGCTTGGTTCGAACTTGGCTTTTACTGTGAGCAAAACAATTTATTTATTTCTTATTTTAACTATTTTTGTTTTCAAATTAGACGGACTCTCTCAGCTCTATGTACTACCTAACCCAATGGGAGCAAATCCTTCAGTACTCGACAAGTCCCCAGGATAACCTGCGATTGCTTAAACTTATTAATTTGGCCATTGAAATGAATAGCAAACCCTTTTATGTGACGGGACTAAAGTATTTTCGCGTTAGTCTGCAGGCTGGCTTAAAAGTGAGTGAAAAGCAATTTCAAAAACATTCAATTAACACCTCTTTCACAGATCCTGCAGGCATCCTTCTCGTACTTCACATTTCTCACTTCGATGCAGCGTCGACAAATGAGCAATTAAACAATTCACATTTTTTTAATGCCACACGGCTGCCTCCTTCTGCGACTCTAGTCCGCTGATACAAATGATTGCATATTAAAAGTCAATTATTGGTGAATTAATTTTAATTAAATTAAATTGATAAAAGGCGCTGGCTCACACGCATCATTGACTTTCGCTTCTTTTGCTCTTTTTCCGTGGCTGTGTGTGAGAAAATGTGCGTGTCCATGTGGGTGGCCTGAAAATGTGCAATAAAATATTCATGATTTCTGTGCAGCAAAAACTTGCAAAAAGTTAATAAAACTTTTGCCACTGCTGTTGGGTAATGAAATTAGAATATCGCAAGCATACCAAACGCAAAAGAGAGCCAAAAAAAAAATATATATAAATTTCCAGCTTTCCATGTTTTGCCATCTCTGGAAATGATCAGCGGCCATTAAGCCGGGCTTGGATGGCATCGTCTCTGCCGTAAGCCATAAATCTCCAACTTCGGAGGAGACTCCACCCTGTTATGTTTCAATTTCCTTTGGCACGAACATTTTGGTAAATTAATCCATTAAAGTTTCGCCATGAAAATGCACAAAAGTTTTCACATAAAAAGGCCATGCATCCCGCTCGCACCGAGCTTAGGCTGTCTCCATCTTCCGCCCATAACTCCCTCATAAGAGGAAGTCGAACTTCGACAGGCGTGTCCCGCTCATTGATAATTAGACCCTGTCGACGTCTCCATGGCCGTCGATTTCAGTCTTCGACCCGCCCCATTAGCCAATTTGTACTTCATTAGCGCCGTGTTGTTCGACTGGGTCTGTGTGCCGCTCCTCGACTAGCTTGCCAGGACTAATGAGTCCTATTTGTAGTGGAAAAGGGTTTGTTTCAACCCCAATACTATGTATCTAAGGGTAGCCTAGTGTAACATTTCGTACTTCATTTTTATCAATACGATTACATTTTATTTATTTTATTTTAAGTTAAAACCATCATGTAACTTGGCTTCAAGTGTGCCGCTCCTCGTCTTGCTTGCCAGGACTAATGAGTCCTATTTGTAGTTGGATTTTGGTTGGAAAAGGGTTTGTTTCAACCCCAATGCCATGTATCTAAGGGTAGCCTATTCTAAAGTTCCTTACTTCATTTTATAAAAGCGACGAACTTTTAAGATAGCTTTTTATTCTGGTATTTTAAGTATAACTTGGTTTCAAATAAATCAGCTATCTAACTATATGCTTTTCTTAAAGAATTTTTTCCAATAAAAACAAAACCTTCATTGTTGATTTTTCAAATTAAATTTCATTAGGCCCCGTTCACAGGAACCATTGCTGATTAAAATAATAAAATAGAGAACTGGAATTTCCCACATGGATTCCAGAGCGGGATGTTTGATATCTTTATATGCATTGACTGCAAGTCGCAATAATGGCGCTTAATTAGAACCGACAGAGTCTGGGAAAAATGAGCATTTGGGGGGCCAAAATATCCTGGTTCCGCACTCACATTCCCTTATCGCTCCCACTGGCTTTGCTGAACTTTTGTGCTAACCACTGAAAATTTTATATTTATGCTTGTGTTGCCAACTGAAGCTAAAGGCAAATGCACAAATGTATAGAGGGGTTAAAGTGAGTGCAGGAAAAGTTTTTAGCTTGTAATTATCATTAGCGATATTGTGTCTAAACTTTTCAAGCAGCGCATGGAGCAACAGTAAGCGAATAAAGTAAGAAGGGGATTCCACCGCTTTCGCAGGGACTCAACTCTGATTCAAAGGCCTTAAATCAATTACAGCGGAAAAAAGGAGGACACTTGTTAATTGCCAGATAAAGCGGCAAGGATTCGCTTTTATTGCAGTACCTGTCATGCAATACTTTCTGAACTGACAACACGTCGTATGCTTAATTAATTTTAAATGCACTTTAAAAGTTTGCCCTTTCGAGAAATGTCCTCCTGGGAAGCGAGGTGGCTGCGAGGCATTTTCACCTTTAAGTCAACTTTCCCCTGGCCCCGTTAAAAGTAAGAACAACCTAGAAAAAGCCCCGAAGAAAGCCCATTCATGTGTGACTGCATTTGTCAGTCTACGGCCCAGAATCAGAATGAGGCTCCGAGTCCTGGCATTCGCATTCCTTTGCCCAGGTCCTGTGAGTTGTGTGTGTAATTATGTCTGAGATTATGCCCACAGCCACGACGGTGCTCCTACTACAGCTGTCTGTCTTTAATATGCCACCGCAGCCTCCATTTCCATACCATATTATTCCGCTTTATTTCTCACCAGTGTTGCCAACCAGAAACTATGAACATTTGTTAAGCAAATAAAACATTTTCATTTAAGTTTTTTATTTTTTAAAGAAATATTTTAGCTTCAGTTTGTATATACTAAGCATTATTAATTTTTTTTTAAATATTTACATTTAGCTAGGAAAAGTATAGCCTGGCAGAGCTAATTCTCAGCTTTTCCGAGCTTGTCGACAGCATCAAAAGTTTCTGCGGTCTGCCAGCTCATCTTCCCTTGGCAACGCTGATGTGTTGGCATTTGCTTTTGCTTTTACTTGCTGGCTGCTTTAAGTGGAGGTCTTGAGATATTTTTTCAGGGCTTGCCTTCGCCACGTTGTTCATATGCAGTTCCTCTGTCGCACTGCAAGAAAATGCTGATTTCCTTTTTGACTGCTTTTAATATTAAGTCCAAACAAATAGACTAGTTTTATCTAATTTTAAGGCCACTGTTTACTGTTTTTTAAAGATATATACAATTTAATTAAATGTGTACAGAGCTACCAGTTTTAGAAGTGCAGAATATTTATTTACCATATAATTTTGTCAAGTTGTGCTCATTAAATGCCAACAACCTTAATTGCAGTGTACTCTGCTTAAGTATTCTCATTTCCCTTCAGTTGCCGCTGCTGCTGGTGGGTTTTTGGCTTTTGCCTTGGCTCGTAAAGTCGCAGGAAGTTATTATCCTAAAAACTTTACCCCTGAGGGCAATACAAACAAAGGCGTAGCAGGGCAACAAAGCGCAGCATTCATGTCTGACTATGAAATGGCTATGGCTGCACTCGCCCGCCCCCAGAACGACCCCCTGAATACCCCCTGAAAACCCCCAGAAATACCCCCTGAAAACCCCACATACACCCACACATGCGTCTCGTTAGCTATGCATGAAAATAGAATGTCATAAAATTAGAACGATCATAAGAAGAGCGAGGGGCCAAACACACAACACAAAGAGCTCGGGAAAAGAAAGCGAAAAGAAGAAAGCGGGCCTCCCGCCAGCTGACTTTTTTACTGCTCTTGGCGAAAACTTGATGGCCAGGCGTCCTAGTGGCCGCCTTAACCCATTAAATTCTCTTTATTATGCCAGCAATATTTTCTCAAAATAAAAAGCAGGAAATTCCCAAGACATTATGACTTTAGAGCGTGATAATCGCGTTGGGATGCTGGGCAAGGACGAAATTTGATAAAAAAGTGATTTAATTGAGTTGAGGTTTGCAGGAAAGGGGATCGTTATGTTTGTTATGATATTGAATAAGAACTTTTAATTTCTTGCACTTAAGATAAGATATGATCATTCTCTTGAATTTAATGTGTGGTTTTAGTATTAGTTTAAGTATTTTAGTTAGTTAAGTTGAAGTATTTAAGTTTTTTTATAAAACTTGTAATATTTTCAGAGTCATTAAACTTCTAATCATTTGACTTGCCGTCTTCCTAAATTAAACACTTGCTCAAAAATTATCTCCTAAGGTAAGTACACATTTTAAATGCCTTGTCGGTAAAGCAACCAACTTAAAAAGCTGATAAAACCAACAGCAACACAAGGACTAAACCACCTATTCCGTACTGGATGACGTTGGCCCATCTTTAGTTGCAACTAAAAAAGCAAATGCACTGCTTGCATAAATTAAATGTTTACGACTTCCGTTTTGTGGGCAGGTAGCTCTGGAGAAGCTTTGGCTTTAGTACAATTTGTGCCATTAAAAAACCAAATATATGTATATGCGAGTCCTTGTGTGAGGGAGATAGAGAGCCGAGAATACGGCAGGGTCTACGCAGATAGTTCGTCCTGGGATTATACGGAATACGGAAGGACTCGGACTCCATGGGTTGGCTTTAGGTGCGGGCTGCTCGGTCGCATGGTTAGTTGCCTGGCGCGCTAATTTTTAATTACGACCACTAAATATTCAATTTTTAGTTGCCGGCAAAGGCAAACACTTCCTCTACGCTGGCCGGGGCTTTTTGTTTTGCAGATTAACCGGTCTGTGGTAGAGGTTTTTCGGTTGGCAGGGGGGAGTCTCTAGTTTCCTGTCAAGTGCAACAGCTCGTTAGAATTGCAAATGTTGCGATTACTTTGAGAGAGGATGTAGTCTGGCTATGTATATGAAATTAACACAATTGGAAACGCTTTTTATCCTCACGGCAGTTCATGCAGCTAACAAGCAAGTCAAATTTGACGTGAGGATACATTTTCCGAGGCAAAAACAAAGTGTAACCAATACGGTTTAAAGATACCAATGTCAATTTATTAATTAGGATCTATATCTTATATTTTATATAGACAGCCAAATTATCTACAACTAGCCTCTGGAATTTACTATTTAAGAATTATAGGATTAGCAGTACATCCGTCTTAGGGTTTCCACATCCTTAGGACTCAGTTGTCTTCCCTCCCCGATTTTTGCATCCGCCTTGAGAGGAACGATAGTTGGTTTCCCGTTCTTGGAGAATGCAAATGGTCCATAGTGCATGATGCTGTCGTAGTCGTAACCCAGACCAAAGTTAGTCACTCCATTGGCCCGAAGTTTCTTGAAGTTCTGTTCGTGGCCGGGTTTTATGTTTTCCGTATGAATCCTTACATAACTGTCCCTTTGCGGATCGCTCTGGGTGTGATAGAAGGCCAATGCATGGAGTAGTTCATGCTGTATGGTCCCACTAGACATGCAGCCCCTGGCCAGATTTAGAGCCTGGTCCACCCGGCCCAAATATCCCACATAGGACCAGCAGCCGGAGCCTTGCCTTTGTATTACCACCTGTGGCTCTCGACGGTTTTCTGTCCTGCGAAATCTCACACAGGTCTGAGATGATATTTCTGCCATGGCGCTTTCCACACGAGCTTGGTCCAAGGAAGCTATGACCGCGATGAAATATAACAACCTTTTCTACAATTTATCTCAACAGTTTCTACTTACATAATCCCCCGCCAAAACTATAGACCAAGGTGCTTCCTTTCCAATAGTACTCTGACCTCGATTTTACAACCCGAGATTCTGGGTATCCTTCAAAAAATCCCTGCTGTTCTGGGATGATTATGATATCATCCTCGTGAATTTCAATCGTAGGACGAGCATGGCCCGAAGAACCGATGGTAAAAAGCAAAGCGATTACAAGGTAATGCATCTCGGAACTGATTTCCAGTTATCAAGAGCGAGAGGTTTTTATTCGTTTGGAACACAATGCACTGAGATAATTCATCTAGATTGCGTGAAAAACCTGCAACATTGCTAAATTAATTGTCCTAGGGTAACATCTGTTTATATCTGCCAGTGATTTAAACCCTTAAAACTGAGTTTAAATCTTTTTATGAGGGCTTGTTTCCGTTTTTATTTGTTTGCATTTTATATAGCTCTATTTAACCCTTTGGGCCTGGAATTATTTTATTTTTCTCGGAAGTAGTAAAAGTATTTACCCGATTAAAAGATACCTACCTATCATTTATGACTGTTGTTTAAATTAGGAAATACATTACATTTCTTAGTATTTATAATAGCCCCTTTATGCAACTATTAATTGCACCCTTAAAATATGCTATAATAGTATATAGCAAGATTTAAAAATTCTTACAAATTAGCTTTAGATAAGAACCCTTCGTTAACTACCGATCATTCAGACTAGCCCAACGATTAGATATAATTTAAAATCATAAATTAGAAAGATTAAAGATTAATTCAGCGCGCGTGCTTTAAATTTGCCAGGCAGTTTTAAATGGAGCGTTAAACAACCAACATGTATTATTACAGTGTATTATACCTGATTTTGGCTCTGATCACCGTCGGTTTGGCCGCCCCATCCGAGCGGATTGAGACAGATCCAGAGCTTACTGCTGGATATATCGAGGGTGATATGGTGCCTAGTGGAATGTCGAGGAATATTTGGCGCAATGAGACCTATCGTTGGCCCAATCGAGTCATCTACTATCACATCAATAGCTATATAGGTGAGAGCTTAAATTGAATTCCAAGTCCCTCAATAATTAGTAATAATCTCAATAGACGAAGAGCATCGGAACCACATTGTAAGCGCCATTCAAAAGATCGAGTCCATATCGTGTTTGACTTTCAAGGAGGCCACCTCCGATCAGAAATACTATGTGAATGTGACCTCCGAGGAGGGCGGTTGTTTCTCGTATATCGGTTACTTAAACCGAGTTCAACAACTAAATCTTGAAAATAATGAAATAGGAGTCGGTTGCTTCCGCCTCTATACGATTGTTCATGAGTTCTTACATGCCCTGGGATTTTTCCACCAGCAGAGTGCCGCCGATCGGGATGAATATGTGCAGATTGTGGAGGAGAATATCACCGAAGGCATGGAGTTCAATTTCGATAAATATACCGAACAGACGGTCAACGATTTTGGCGAGAAATACGACTATGGCAGCGTTATGCATTACGGTCCCTATGCATTTTCCAAAAACGGCGAGAGGACAATAGTGGTTTTGGAGGAGGGCAAGGAAGATGCCATAGGCCAGCGACTGGAGCTGAGTGAAACTGATATCAAAAAGCTAAACGCCATGTACAAATGCCCTACTGTTTAGGAATAAACACTGTTTATCGTATCGCCATTCAGAGTTTTCTACCGGCGTAATGAAGATAAATTTCGTTTCATTATTGTCATCTTTTGCTCAAGCGAAATATAATCTGTTTATTGTGTTGACAAATGCAATTAGGCGAATGTTCGTCGCTGTCGTTTACCTTCAGATTTATTTTGTCACTGATTTTCTTTATTTTGGGGGTGGAAAGGCATTGTAATGCTGATTGAGATTGGAAAGGTTGCAAGATGATATTACGCAATGGGACAGGTCATGGTCGGTTAGTCTTTGTTGTTTTCGGAGCGAAGGAAAAGGAGAAAGGTGGTTTGGGAAGTTAAGGTATTGCAGGAGTAATTTAAAGTTAATTGAGATAAGTTATGGTAGAGTGAAGTAAATAAGTTGTTCTTTAATGTGTAAATTATTTATTTATTGATATGATGCTAACAACAAATTTTAAATTATTTGGTGATGACAGTGTGCATGAGCTATAGCTGCTGTAGGCCTTCAGCTCTTCAGGTTATATATAATTTTCAATTTCTTTTCTTTGGCCTATTTGTGATGCATAAATTATACTTAATATTATTATAGGAAATTCGTATTTTCCCAGTGAACAAAATGCTTCCTCATCCCAACTTCATCCTTATAAAAAGGTATGTAGATCTTATCTCGATGGCGGGAATTCCAGAAACGCTAGCTAACTCTACCCTGAATTAAGATTATATATACCCGACGTATATTATGCAGGCAACCTTAAACGATTAGATAACTACTTAGCAGTGACCATTGGCTTGCCATAAAAGCTTAACTCTGTTAAAGACCATAAATTATCCATTGAAAAACTATACCGCTTTGTCACCGTATAATTGGCGCCGTAAACAGTTACTTGCTGACCGTGAAGACATCAACATGAACACCTGGACCTTAACTTTGGTGGTTGTACTCCTGGCCAGCTGCTGCTGGGCTGCTCCTGCTACACAGGAGCGGATTGAAACCGATCCGGAGCTGACAGCTGGCTATATTCAGGGCGACATGGTTCCCAGTCCGGAGGGAAGGAATGGTCTTCGAAACGAAGCCTACAGATGGCCCAATCGCATTGTCTACTACTACATCAATCGGGATATTGGTAAGGACATATACTATCTGAAAAGGTTATATTAGATCGAAAGTACGTTTCGACATTAATAGAATCTAAATGTATAAAAAATAATATTTTATTGTTAACACTAATTTTTATTAAAAATACAATTCAGACACCGAACATCGCGACCACATTCTGCGAGGTATTCGCATCATCGAGCAAAGTTCTTGCTTGGTTTTTAAGGAGGCTACCACTGATCAGGAATATTATATAAACGTCACCTCGGAGGCGGGTGGATGTTATTCATATGTGGGCTATCGCAACAGGGTTCAGCAGCTAAATCTGCAAAACTATGCACTGGATTCGGGCTGCTTCCGGCTGGGAACAATTGTCCATGAGTTCCTTCATGCCCTGGGTTTCTACCATCAGCAAAGCACATGGGATCGGGATGACTACGTGCGAATCGTTGAGGAGAACATAACGGCAGGCACCGAGGGCAACTTCAACAAATACGATAACGAAACCGTCGAGGACTACGGGGAACCCTATGATTACTCCAGTGTGCTGCACTACACGGCGTATGCGTTCTCTAAGAACGGAGAGATGACCATTGTGCCGCTGCAGGAAGGCGCCGAAGAGGTGATGGGACAGCGATTGCAAATGACCCAGTCTGATATTAACAAGCTTAATGTCATGTACAAGTGCCCTAGGCAGGTGTAATAATTATAAAGGGTTATACAATTAAATACAAATGTATTTGTTACCACAAAAGTTTGAATTTTCATTGAGGCGCAATGGAGGTTAGGGAAAACCTAAGCTAAGATAAGGGATAAGAGTTCCAAATATATTTACATTTGATATAGATTTCAACTGATTAATTTTACTATCCCAACATCTGAAAGTATGCAAGCGTTATTTTGTACGTTATTCAAAGTTGTGCTTTTCGGCATAAATTAAAATTAGAATCGATAACCATATTATAAATGTTTTTGTTATGCATAACACCATCAAACAATACCGCGTCAAACGGGATAAATTCCAATCTAATAATAAAATTTTATTTAGGCTTTTGTTCTTTAATTTCACCTGCGATATTTCTTTGACCTATTAGAAAGTTCGCAAGTGTTATAACTAACACGAATTATAAGCATGTCGTTTTAAATTAAAATAAATATATTACTATGTTATTCATGGTAAATTATATCAGGCTATAATATCCACTATTACGACTAGCCGTTTAGTATAGTTTAATATCTGGCTTCATCATGTTTCTTCTGGCATTAGCTCTAATTTTCCTGTCTGATAGAGTAGTTTTCGGTAAACCTTTTATGGATCCGGAACTGCTTCCGGAGTATTTTCAAGGGGACATCATAGGTGAGCCGTTTCGGTCCCGGAACGGGATGACCAATGAGATCTATCGCTGGCCCAATGGCATTGTACATTATATCATTAAGGAAAACCACTTTAGTATGTATGCAGATAAAGTGAGATGTTCACTGGTTTAACATAAATTTCCAAGGTGGCAGTCATTATCTGGAAATTCTCAAAGCTATGTCCATCATAGAGGCAAATTCGTGCATTGTTTTCAAGCCGGCCACCAAAAAAGAGCGTTTCAAGGCCGTCATCATTAAGTCGAATGGCATGGGCTGCAACTCCTATTACTTGGGCTTCAGGAATAGAACGCAAGTGGTGAACCTCCAGACTTATCCACTTGGCGAGGGTTGCTTTCGTATCGGTTCCATTATCCACGAGCTCCTCCACGTCCTCGGCTTCGAACATCAGCATGTGGCACAAAATCGAGACGAGTTCGTCAAGATCCAATGGAATAATATTAATCCGGAGTACAATATTAACTTCCTTAACACCGACACTACAACACAGTGGCACGATTTTGGAGAGGAATACGACTACGAAAGCCTTATGCACTATCTACCAACGGCCTTTTCCAAGAACGGTCAACCCACAATTTTGGCTCTAAAGGAGGGGGCCGTGAACATGGGTCAGCGACACTATTTGAGCGAAAAGGATATTCGGAAGCTTAACAAAATGTACAAGTGCCCTGGTTATGACCAGGAAGCCTCGATACAAAAAATCATCTTAATATAACAAAATTTTTTTATTAAATTCTTTTTTGTACGAGAACTAATTGATTGACTAATATTTGGACAGGCCCTTCTGAAGACAACAAAAATCGAATAAAAAAAGTATTTTAATTATTATTATTATTTTTATATTGCGTTGGTTTAATGTTGTCCTTAGTTTGAAATCCTGATAACAAACCTTTGCAAGCTTAATTAATTTACAAAATAAAACGATAGATCAATAATTTTGTACCTCAGTGTAATAATCACACAAGCGTATAATTCTCTTAATTCAATTCTCTCACCTGAGTTATATTTTCTGTAAAGAAGTCAGTTGAGCACTTTGCTTATTGCCTTGAATGGGTTATCACTTAGTCCCCGGTTTGTAGACTCGTAGAGTAGAGAGACTGTAGAGAACTGAGTGCTGTGATAAGGCCCTGAATGTGAACACCTAATAGACAACCCAATGAACAAGCGATTACGCGTGGCTTGGTTGTTGGGCAGTAATCAGTTATCAACCGACGATTTTGAAGGAATTACTCACATTTGGGAAGCAGAGGTTTTAATTATATATTTGTTTTTGTTATTTTTGTCGGCACTTAAGAATCCAATCACTGTTCATATAATTCGCTATCACACACAGGTAATCACGAAAGTCCAAGAGACAAGCCATGACGTATGTATGTTAGAGATATTTATCGTAAACTTACATGACTAATGGAAGGTTTCCATCTGGGCGCCTCGCTTGCTGAAAGGTGACATGCAGTAAACCTTGATCTAATTGTACGTATCGATTGTCATTATCAATTTGCGAAATAAGTTTCTGCCCGTTTGTATCTAATCTGAAATGTACGGCCAGCCTTCGTCCGTGTTTTATATTAAGTTGGCCATGCTCTCTGGCCAGTTTACTAGTCTATTTCGAGGAACCTAACTGGCAAGATGTCGAGGTCTGGAATAATATATCTTCTGCTGCTGCTGCAAGTGGTGCTTAACTCTGGCAAGCCTCTGCCAGCAGGTGTCTATGATCCGGAGGAGGCGGCTGGCTTTGTGGAAGGGGATATGATGCTGACGGAGGAGCAGCAAAGGAGGCTGGAGCATGGGGCTCCAATGGCCCGCAATGGACTCATCAATACGGAAAGGCGATGGCCCGGCAATGTGGTGGTCTATAGGATCTCGGATGACTTTGATGCGGCGCACAAGAAGGCCATCCAGAGTGGCATCGATACCTTGGAGCAGAACACCTGTTTGAAGTTCAGGGAAGCCACCGACGAGGATACGGCCTATGTGACCGTTACGGCCAAGTCAGGAGGTTGCTACACGGCGGTGGGATACCAAGGAGCGCCGCAGGAAATGAACCTAGAGATTTACCCGCTGGGCGAAGGATGTTTCAGGCCAGGGACCATCCTGCACGAGTTCATGCACGCCCTGGGATTCTATCACCAACAGAGCTCGGCCATACGAGATGGTTATATAAACGTGGTCTATGACAACATCGTGCCCGGCAAGGAGTTTAATTTCCAAAAGTATGCCGACACAGTGGTGACCGATTTTGAAATGGGTTACGACTACGACAGCTGTCTGCATTATCGACCAGGAGCCTTCTCCATCAACGGCGAGGATACCATTGTTCCGCTGAATGCCACTGCGCAAATTGGACAGCGAGTGGGTCTCAGCTCAAAGGATATTGATAAGATCAACATTATGTACAAGTGCCCCATTCTGCTGTGATTCAGAATCGGGTAGATTGTGTACTAGTATACTAATTGTGATATATACATAGCTATATTTTTCAGCCACCGACTGAAGCGATTAGATCGGTTTTATTGATCTACGCTGTCATTGTCATTGCGGGCTGTACTATTTATAAAGAAACGTAAATTAAAGCCATATTCCTGTATGACATAGTCTCTGATTATTTCTTATCTGGAGGGTACAAAGCACAATCGGGGGCAAGAACTATCAGTGTTTCCGTTTTCAACGCTTCCAGAATTCAGGCCCAAACCGCAGTTCGTATGGCCATGTGTCGAGGTCTAGAAATTGCGTGCTGCTAATGCGATTTATATGCGAGATGCAAATGTCTGGGGAGCATCTGGGCCCAGGGAATAGGGGCCTGGGACACCTAGTATTGCCTGGAACTCGGAGGACCTCGGCGCAGGCACTCAATTCTCACATTTTGACAGCGCTTGTTAGACCATAAATTCGATTCTCGTTCGTTTCGACGACACGGTTGTCCTTTTCCCTCCACTCCGAATATCCTGCAACGTCTTCCTTTGCGCATTGTTTCATCCGAAATTAAGAAAGGACCTCAGAAGTGGTGTGCGAGCATGTTTTGGGGAAAATTACCATACACCAAGGAGCAGCGGCAAATTTTCCAAAGGCATTTTACATGGCAAAATGAAATTGCAAAAGGCACAAGTTCGGTGATTGATGTAGTTTTAGGCAGATGGTACCCAAAATAAAATTATTATAATTTTTCGTTAGGTTTTCTAAGGGCTTTTACTTTGATTGTTTCAAAATTTATTTAAGTTCCAAAAAAAATCTGTTATAAAAACACCTTAAAGCTTTAATAAGCTACTGTATTTACCCTTGATTATACATTTTTAATTAGGTCTTAAGTGGAGGTGTCAAAATGAATAATGAGCTAATGCCCATTATCAGGTATTGTCCAATTAACGATTAAAAGTCATTAAGATTATTTTAAGTCCGTCGGTTTTCTTCAAAAAAGTCACACAGTATAAATTTTTGTTGAATGGTTGTATGAAAAAAACTAGACGTATATGTAACATGAACAGTTACAATGGAACGCTTTGTATGCCCATTCAGGATGTTTACTTTTGATTTTTTCTTATCTTGTGAATGAGGCAATATATGAAGTATTAACACTGCATCTGATTTTTTCTTATCGAGACATTTTATTGGTGCTCGTAAGCACTATCAGTGAAAAGGCCCTATGAACAAATATTTACAGGTTGTAATTACATTAATAATTAAAAAAACAATCCAATTGCAGTGGAATTAATAACATTTATGTCCGGAAAGTCCGCCAATTGAGTCATCACAACCTTTGTACTAGACATTGACCACTTATAACATAATCTTAATGAACAGACTTAATAGCCCCGAATTCTAGTAATGTTCCTATAGACAAGGGGAAATACCTAGTTTAAGGCTGACTCATTTTCTTTACCAAATTTCACAAGGTGCTTAAATTGACTTCACCTGACTTCCGCATAAAAGTGTGCCCAATTTTTATGGCCAGCTAGAGTCGACTAATTGCGCTCAGCCCAAAAGTGAGCCATAAATAAGGCAGCATTTTCTATTGCATTCAATATGCAAATCAGCTGCAAACAATTCCAATTTCGCTGGCTCTTTGGGGGATCCGCGCTTGCCAATAATAACTCATGGATGAAAGTGCGCGTCCGCAAACAGAAGCGGAAGCAAAAACCCAAAAACCGAAGCCACATGAAATATGAAACGAATTGTAGCAATTTCCCCAAAGGCGCAAAAGCGCATATGTGACCGAGTTCGAAACCGAGAGATTCTGGATTCAAGATGGGCCACTGAACTACAGCATCCCAGTCTTTTTGGCCTCTGCGATTTATTGCTGACGAATGCGTATTCAATTTTAAAGCATCGCCGAAATGATTTATACATTTAATTTTATTTTTCTTGCCCAGCCGCTTAGCGGAAATGAGAAATCACTTGCAAGGGCTTGCATCCGTCTTTCCCCTACTCGTCATCCTTTTACGATCCATGTTTTGGGCACAATTTTTCATCGCTCATATTTATGACTATGACGTCGTAAAAAATTATGCTTTAATTTGATTATGGTGCTGCAAAGTGTGTGTGGTTGACGTGGCGTATACGCAATGTGGATGGCTATAAATTTGCTAAAGATTATTGGGTCAACGCCTGGGCGTTTCTTACTTGCAATTGAGTTTAGTGACTACTTATAACGTTAAAGATGACATGCAGTTCAGAAGTATTAAGTCAAATAAAATATTTTACTTAGTCATCAAACTTAACTTTAGATAATAAACAGAGTTTCACGAAATACTTGTTTGTTTTCGCCGAAGTGAAGAAACGAGGAGGGGCAATTTTATTGGGAAGAACAAAATGAACGCCCTATTAAATTGAGCCATGGAACACAACAAGGAACGTTTATAAGCGACAGCGAAATGTTTCTATTTTGTTTACCAAGCACGGCTTTCAGAATGGGAACCCAAAACTGCACTTTAAGATTCCATAACTTGAGTAATTTTATCCCGATTTTAGAGTGGTCTACCTCTATGAATTTGTAGTTGAATTCTCTAATATTCTACATTTAAATTTATCTTTTAATCAATGGTCAAAAATTTAACCCATTTTCATGTTCAATTTTTCCGTAATTCCAATGGCTTTCGGAATGGGACCCCAAAACGGGACCGTAAGATTCTATAACTTGAGTTATTTTATACCGATTTTAAAGTGGGATATCTCTTTGAATTTGTGATTGAATTCTCTAATATTCTACATTTAAATTTATCTTTTAAACGAAGGTCTAAAATTTAACTCATTTTCATGTACGATTTTTCCGTAATTCCAATGGCTTTCGGAATGGGAACCCAAAACTGCACTTTAAGATTCCATAACTTTAGTAATTTTCTCCCGATTTTAGAGTGGGATACCTCTATGAATTTGTGCTTGAATTCTCTTATATTCTACATTTAAATTTATCTTTTAAACAATGGTCAAAAATTTAACCCATTTCATGTTCGATTTTTCCGTAATTCCAATAGCATTTGGAATGATACCCCAAAACTGGACTTAAAGATTCTATAACTTTAGTTATTTTAAACCGATTTTATAGTGGGATAGCTCTATGAATTTGTGGTTGAATTCTCTAATATTCTACATTTAAGTTTATATTTTAAACGAAGGTCAAAAATTTAACCCATTTTCATGTACAATTTTTCCGTAATTCCAATGGCTTTCGGAATGGGAACCCAAAACTGCACTTTAAGATTCCATAACTTAAGTAATTTTCTCCCGATTTTAGAGTGGGATACCTCTATGAATTTATGGTTGAATTTTCTTATATTCTTTATTTAAATTTATCTTTTAAACAATGGTCAAAAATTTAACCCATTTTCATGTTCGATTTTTCCGTAATTCCAATAGCTTTCGGAATGGGACCCCAAAACTGGACCTTAAAGTTCTATAACTTTAGTTACCTCTATGAATTTGTGGTTGAATTTTCTATTATTCTTCATTTAAATGTATCTTTTAAACGGAGGTAAAAAATTTAACCCTTTTTCATGTATTTTCAAGGGCTTTCAGTATGGGTACCCAAAACTGCACTTCTATATTCCATAACATTAGTTTTCTTATCCCGATTTAGAAGTGGGATACCTCTATGAATTTGTGGTTAAATTTTCTAACATTCTACACTTTAATTTATCTGTTAAATGAGGGTCAATAATTTAATCCATTTTCATGTTCGATTTTTCCGCAATTCCAATGGCTTTCGGAATGGGAACCCAAATCTGCACTTCAAGATTCCATAACTTAAGTTATTTTATCCCGATTTAAAAGTGGGATACCTCTATGAATTTATCTTTTAAACGAAGGTCGAAAATGTTACCCATTTCATGTCAGATTTTTCCCAAATTCAAATGGCGATCAGAATGGGTACCCAAAACTGCACTTTAGGATTCAATAACTTGAGTTATTGGATCCCGATTTAGAAATTCAATGCCTTTATGAATTTGAGGTTGAATTCTCTATCATTCTTCATTTTTTATTTTTCTTTTAAGCGAGGGTAATATAAATTATTCGTTCAACAATCCGAATTGCCTTTACCCAATTACCCAGAATCCAAATTTATCCACATACTGAACTAATTCCCATGTAAGCCAATGGGTTTTCTCTTCTGATGAAATAAGTACAACAGTTTAAAATCAATTTTCCTTGCGTATATATGTTCCGTAATAGGGATTGAGCTGGGAATTATCTAGTCAACGCTATTATTGTGTGCCTATGCCATTAACATTGCCATTATCCATTCCAAAAACCTTATCGGGACAAACGATTTCGGTAAGCTACTTAACTGTAACTCAATCAAACAGCGAACTAATTAATTTGCATTTGCATTTCTTTGGCATCCTTTAAAGCCCACCCAGCAACACACATACTCATTTGCCAGGACCCACCCACAGATGTATACATTTAAAATGGTTATTTTGGCATGGCCGCCTTTTGTGTGAACATTAAAATCTTAATTTGAATATGTAACCGCTTGTCTATGCCACTTTTAATCCCCATTTGGCACACTACCCACCTGTGTGTCCCTTTCGTCCTGCGGGTCTATCCATTTCTGTGTGTGTGTGTGTGTGGTGGTTTTGGATTGTTTTTCGTACACCCAAAACTAGATGGTTTTGGGAGGCAGACGGGCAGCATCATGTTCATTTAAAAAGGTAATTTCGGCGTTGAGCTTATTATGCTCATTAAGTCATCACGGAACGAAATGGGCCAGCTCCTGGCGTTGGTCCTGGTCCTAGTTCCGATGAGTCCTGTTCCCGGGGCAGGACAACATTATAAAGTGCACGGCGACCGCAAAACGTGTGCACTCGATTACTGTTGTTGCTTAGCTCAGTTACACTTTCATCCACTGCAAATTACTTTTTGGAAAAAAAATTATTCTTATTTAAATTATGTTTAAAAGATGTTCAATTTAAACTACTCGTTGAATAATTTTCAGTTTAATATATCTCTTGAATAATGTTAATGAGCTCATTATTTTTAGAATCAGTTTATGAAAAGAGGTATGTATTCTCTCTGCCAAGATATGAATATTTTAATGTAAAAACCAATTTATATATGTCAACAAATTAATAAAAATATAATTAAATAAATATACTTGGGA